TACCCAATTCAAGAGTTAGAGAGAGAAGAATAACATTTGGTTATTTAGAATCGAGAATCGAGTATTAATTAGAGATATTTACCCTATGTGTTAGGCAGTGGCTAGTTCAAGATTCGAGTTCGAGGATGATTGCTTGCTGCTTGCAAGGTGAGTCTTCTCATTATACTTTACCTAGAGTGGTACTTATATGTGACCTGAGGGTCTTATGTGCTTGCATTGAGTATTATGTTATCCTGCCATATGTTTATTGTTGTGCATTATGTCTTTCTGATTTATGCTATGCAGAGCTTTACAGACCGGACCAGAGGGTCCAACGAACCGTGGGACTGGAGGGTCCCACTGAGACACATTGACCGGAGGGTCTTACAGTGATATAGCCTCGAGTGGCTAATGAGCTGTGTGTGTGGTATTTTGAGGAACTCACTAAGCTTCGTGCTTACCGTGTTATGTGTTATGTGTTTCAGGTTTCTCATGATCGCGGGAAGGCACCGGCTTGATTGTACACACCAGTGAAAGAGTTATGTTTTGAGGATCCTGGATTTGAATCAAACAATTATGGAGTTGTGATTTCTAAATTAAATAAATGAGATTTTCGTGAAATGTGTTATGAGAATTATGTGATTTTTAAATGAAAATTTTATTTGAAAATTTACGGTGTTACATTTACTCATTCCATCTTTTATTGTTACATATAATCCTTCACGATTAACATAATCAAATCAAATAAAATTCTTAAAAAAAATAATTTAAAGTATGTTTTCGTTCATTTATGAATATAAAAGAAAAATTGTTTTTTTTCGATCTTTATACATATAAAAATATATAGTTAAAAATCAAAATCTATGAAATTATATAACTATATTTGTTTTTATTCATTTATATCAAAAGTCGTTTGAATCATGACTATAAGATTTTTTTTTCTTCAATTTTGAACGAGAAACCTTCCATTAAGTATAAATAAAAAAAATCAATGAATTCTTTTATTTAGGAAACAGTCAAATTGAGTCCCTAAATTTTTGCAAGCTCATATTTAATTTATTTTGTTATAATTTAATTAAAATATACAATTACTAATATGTCATTGTTTATTGATTGGTTAAGAATTGTTTTCACGTTCTTAACATTTTAGGTGTTTTTATTTGATCATTTCTCTCTCTCTCTCTCTCTCTATATATATATATATATATATATATATATATATATATATATATATATATATATATATATATATATAGGGTTGGGTTCAACACGGAACCATTTTAAACCTTAGAACCAAGGAACCAATCTTTTCTCAATTTTAAGAGCAATTTTTTCATTAAAAAAAACTAAAAATATAGAAATTCATAACTTTTTATCCTCCATCCATTGATATTAAATTTGATAAAAAAAAATTGATATGTTCAGGTTTACACTGTGAATTTGTTTAAATTCACATTGTGAATCTGTGTAGATTCACCCTATGAATTTGTGCTGTGAAATTTGTGCAGGTTCACACTATGAATCTGTGCCGATTCACACTGTGAATTTGTGTAGATTCATACAGTGAATTTATACAAAATTAATGATTTATAGTGTAGATTCACAATGTAAATCTGATCATATAAAAAAGTAAAAAAAAAAAATTATCAAATTTGTCATCAATGGAAAGAATATAAAAAGTTATGAATTTCTATATTTTTAGAATTTTTTTTCGATAAATAATAAGATCTAATACTTGAAAAAATAATGGTTCATTAGCTCTCTCTCTCTCTCTCTATATATATATATATATAATATATATATATATATATATATATATATATATATATATATATATAGAGAGAGAGAGAGAGAGAGAGTTTTTTCCAACTATGCCGGTAAAATTTAGGACTTTTTATGGTATTATTCTTTTTGCAATTAAAAAAATTACATGGTTAACATTCTACTTTTGACATGGAATATATATATATATATATATATATATATATATATATATATATATATATATATAAAGTTTTTCCAACTATGCCGGTAAAACTTAGGACTTTTATAGTATTAGTATTTTTGCAATTAAAAAGATTACATGGTTAACATTCTACTTTTGACATGGAAAATAAAAAATAAAAAAGATTTATCATAAATTTTCAGTTGGAGAGAAGATTTAGCTTAGTCATATCTAAAAACTTTTCTAAAAAATAGTAAGAAATTCATTTTTGTTATTTTTACAAGACAACTACAATATTATTATTTATTTTTTCAAATGGTTCTTGAGAATTATTAACATAAAAAAAATATAAATAAACAAAAAACAAAGTTAGGAAATCTACCTTTTTGCAAACATGAGGAAATGTATTTTTTTAGATGGATAGCAGATAATTTTGCAAATTAAATACTAAAACGATTTTCACATGTGACAGACCACATAAAATGTTATCTGCGAAAATCAAGATTATTTTGGTCAAATTGTTAATTTTTTATTATCTTTTAAAAAGTAATAAAAAAGATTAGTTTGATTTTTCTTGCATATTATTCTACAAATTAACAATCACTCATTTTGTATGTTAAATATGATTATAGAATATTGTTATTACAATAACCGTTTAAGTTTTGATAATACAATCTACGAAGTTTGCAATATTGAAAATACTTTGGGTGACTTCCAGTCTCGATTTTCTTTTGTGTTTGTTTATTATTAATTATTTTATCTATCCGACGCGGTAAAAGATGATCCAAGTTATCCCATTTATAACGAATTAGTGACTATGTTGAAATTGTCACATCTGATATCTATGGTTATATGCGATATGTGTGTGTGTGTTTATATTTATATATACGCATATACATATTTTCTAGAAGCATGATATTTTCAAATGCTAATATTGAAAAATAGAATACTTTTTACAACACTATAAAGAAAAATGGTGATGGGATGATTGTAAGAAGAATCTTTAAGGAAAGAATCAAAGGGAGTGATTAGGATTAGAAGTTGACGTTGCTTGAAATTGAAGTATTCTTCCGACATGTATTTCATTCCCATTATCTATTAGTTAATCAGAATGCCTTTAAGCTAATTAAAAAGCTTCCATTATAATCTTAAAGGGTAAAACTAGAATCTTAGACACAATTCTGAACCAACCATATTGGTTAACAAATTTAATATATTTTACATATTAAAGATGAGTTACACTTATATTTTACATTAAATTTGAAAGGTTTGTTTCGAATATTATGTAAACGGTAAAGAAAAAGTACATTTTCTTGAAAAAGGAAAGAACAAGCGAAAATCTTTGAAGAATTAGACAGCGTATGCAGAATTTGTCTTTACAAAAACAATTAATGTATAAAACTAAGAAAACTAAGACGGAATATTTTTATCTTAAATCATATTATAATCGTTTTACTAAAGAATAAACATAAGAACTTTCTTAATAGCTTTTCTTCTTTTTTTCCCCATGACTTTACGCCTTCATCAATAATATAATAAATTTTCTTTGTATCAACAATATAATTTTCTAAAAAACATAATTACATTAAAAAAAATCCAAGAAAAAGCTACAACTTCTCAAGTAAGGAAAGCACCTATACCCCTCATTTGATCCCAAAGACCCCATTTAGAAGATCAATTCCCTTTGCTTATGCTTCTATATATTACTGCTAATACAAAGTCTTTTTTTCTTTCTTTCTTTTCATTTAAATAATTTAAAGCAAAATTCACCAAACCTTTCATAAAGATGTTGAAATTAAAACAAATCATGGAAAAGAAGTCTTTGGTGGATTCATGCTCTTTCTATGTCATAAATCCATTAGTTGTAAAGCAAAACAATTCAAGTCAAATTTAAAGGCAAAAGTTCAACACAATCTTAAGTTATCAATGATTTCGGAAGATTTGATGTTTTGAGTTGTTTTTTTTACTGCCGCACTTGAATTAAAAACGTATTCAAGATAACTTAAAGATCTTGGATTCAGTTAAGATATACAACAAAGTTTGATAATTCACATAAGCTTTCAAATTTGTTTTGTAACGGTGTTAAGGTTTGTGCTAGTTTGTACAAATCAAACATTATTGTGGGGTTTAATGTGTTAACTTTTCCTTTTGGGTCTTACACTTTTAAAGCTCTTATGCTTGTGTACTTGTGTTCGTACGTGTATGACTTCGGGTCTATGTACATTCTTGAGATCTGTTTCAAAGTGTTATTTCTTATATCTATATGAGAGTTTCACACAATATATATATGTACATGGTTTTAATTATTAATAAAAATCACTTAAGGTGCCACTCACCTTAAAAACAAATCAATGAAAAGAGAATCAAGAATCAAAAGCCAATAAATCAAATGGGGTATATATGTAGGACAAAGGCAATTACATTTGTGAGACATGCAAATGACTCAACCGACTCAAAGCATGCTTTCAAAGAACCATAATCCCAAAGCCAAGTTAAAGTAAAGAAGCACCACTTTTACTTTCAAAACAAAGATTTCAAATACTATTTAAAATTAATACACGTTTTAAAACACTCTTTAGAAAACTTTGATCAAGTTTCATATATGCATATATAAGTTCCAATTTTACAAAAGAATATATATATATATATATATATATATATATATATATAGATATATATATATATATATATATTCATTTTAATATGAAAACAACATACTATAATTTTTTATTTTTTTATTTTTTTATTTTTTTGTTTACGAGGGAAAAAAAGATACTTTAAATTTCATCAACAGATAATTATTGTTTGTACTTTAATACTTGTATGTGATGACTCTAACTTAGCAAAAAACATGGGCAAAAAATAAAATATGTTGCTCTTTTGATATGGAAATATATGGTCTAAATAAGAATGAACATGGAATATGTTACTATTATATGTGCATAGTATGCTTACAAAACTTAAGGGACAAGTACCATATGGCCTATGGGATATGTTCCAAACTGATGAAAAGCAAAAGCCTTTTAGTTTGATGCTATAAAACGGGCAGTATATATATGTTCACTACTTCAACTTAATACTTAACCACTTTTCTTCTTCTTTACAGCTTTCTTGGTTTCTTTGATGTCAACTCATCAAAAAAAGCATGGAGAAAAGGTTCACAAGGAGATTTCAAAGCTCAATTTTGTTAGAGATGGAGCCATTAAGTTACCTCCAGGGTTTAGGTTTCAACCCACTGATCAAGAGATAGTATTTCAATATCTAATTCGTAAGGTCTTCTCCTGCCCTCTTCCTGCTTCCATCGTTCCTGAAATTCTCGACATTTGCAAATTCAATCCTTGGGACTTGCCTGGTTAGTATATTTATCCTCATTGTTTTGAAAAATATAAATATTTTGTAGTTATCTTTGCATGGCATGTTTTATTTATTTGGAATTTTGATGTTCGATTAGGGGATTGGGAGCAAGATAGGTATTTTTTTAGCAAGAACGAACCCAAGTATGGTAATGGGCATAGATCAAATAGAGCAAGTGAGGATGGATATTGGAAAACAACTGGTTTTGACAAACAGATTACAAGGTGTTGTAGTAATAACAAATCGGATTCAAGAAGAAAAGAGATTATTACTGGGATGAAGAAGACACTTGTTTTCTACAAAGGCAAGCCCATGCATGGAGGCTCGACCACAAGAACTTATTGGATTATGCATGAATATCGCCTCGTTCATTCACCTAATTGCTTGCCAAATACCAGCTCCAATAATGATCAGGTATACATCTTGTATGATATTTGTTAAACATTTATGTTATATTTTTCTAAAAATGGACATATTTACTAGAAAGTGGTTCTTTCACAAGGACAGATTAGTTTTCCACATGCCATATTCGTGACAGAATATTCATGGCAAAAGAGAACCCCATTGAAATCCATTAAAGAAGACAAAAAGGAATAGTTTTAGGAATAAAATACGCATTAAACTAATTCGTTTCTTTGTGATCTGGCCGGTTAATTTGTTTCAGCAGAGGTCATGGATTCAGATGGGAAATTGGGTCTTATGTCACATATTCATGAACAGAAGAAGTAAAGTAGGAGGTGCAGAAGGGAAGCCATTAACAAGTGGTTTAACTCCACAGGAAGAGCTTCATCATCATGGTTTTATGTTGAGAAATGACGGAATGAATGTCAAATATGAATCATCATCGTCGTTGTCATCATCATCATCTTGTGGATCAAGTGTGGTGACTCATGAGGTTTCCTCAGTTAGGAAGTTATTAGACGATGAAGATATATCAAGAATAATGTAACCACTTAATGTAGTTTTTTTTTTTGTTTAACATATTAGGAATTGATTGTCAATTTCGAAGGTGATATTCATTTCGTCTCGAGAAAACTGTAATAATATTCTTCGTCTTAAATAATTTGGGTATTAATTGGAATGTTTCTTGTGTCGTTGTGATCAATGGGCTCCCAGTCCTTGTGGGGTCGGGGGCAACACTCCCTTAAAGAAATTTTTGAGGTTAAACCAGAACTGTGGTGGCAGTTGTAGTAACAAGGTCGACTGCGTTGCTTAATTCTAAGGTTTGTGCGAACCAGAAAACATGTTCAGATGATGACGTCTTGGGCTTGTGGGTTTTGGCCCACAAATAGTTTAAGATCAACTCGTTTTATAAATAGATATCGTTATAACTAGTAGTGTTGGGTGAGCTTGGTTCTCGGATCGGACCGAATAAGACCAAACCCGAATTGGATCCAAAATGAATTAGCATTTTGTACAAACCAAAGACCAAACCAAATATGTATTTATGATCCCGATTCGGTTCGATTTCGATCGGTTTTTGGTTCGTTTTAGTTTCTTAGGATCGTGAGTAGGGTGTGGTCCAGAACCAGGCCGAGACCGAAACCGAATTAATATTTTTTTCAAATTGAAGACCGAACCGAATATGTGTATATGGTCCCGTTTTGGTTGGTTTTCGGTTAAGTTTTGTTTTTCTGGTCCATATGTTCATCCCTAATACCTAGGTAAACCTAGGCATGAAACGTTTGTATGGCGGTTGTATTTCTACAAGTCTAATAAAATGTCTGTCTTCAGATTTACTCTGATCGTGTGGACCACATTAAATTTGTGTGTTCTAAATTTTTCTTTGCATATTTATTGTTTGGTTTTGTGAGCTTATTTATTCATTATCCTAATATTTTTATTGCAGTATTCATAACAAGATCTTTCTCTTACGTATGAATCCAAACTCTCGGGCCAAAAGGAGACGATCCTTAGGTTTTCACAATTTGGTCTTGGTTGAAATATAGTATCAAAGAGATAGAGTGTTGTCGATTTGGATTGTGGTTTTAAATGTCGAATTAACCCAACCAAGATGGTTAGGCTTCTCGGCTTTGGGATGGTAAAGTTTGTTTTCCACTTAGGCATGTTTGAATGTGCACTTTTAAACCGATTATGTTATAAATGGAATTATAAGCATTTGTATTAAAACATGCTCTAAGGGAAAATGTTTAGATGTGTTTATTTTTGAATTATAACGATTATATGTTTTTTTTATTAAATCTTGATTTTATAACTAATCAGTAGATAACATATTCAAAAATAAATATTTGCATTCACCAAACCTCATTTTCTATTTGAATTAATTGTGATTTGGTTGGGTATAAAACCAGTTTTAGACAGTAACCAAAATAACACCATATGCATTCAAATCAAATTGGTTATAAATCTGATGAAAAAAGATTTTATTTTCCACGCTTACAAAAGGTTTCCAATCTTTGAGGTGAAGTTTTTGTATATTACAACTTTCGTACTTTTATGCACTATGAGAATATGAATATTATTTTTAAGTTGACATTAACACATGTTGCTTTAAGAAAGAAAAGTAAAGCATCATTTTTTTTTTACTTTTCTACTTTTAAATATGAATATATATCCAAATGTCCACCTCTTTATGACACAATTACATGTAATTTTTTTCTTAACAACATAAAAATTAAATAAACTCGAACAAAAATCCCTATCCCACATCAAGGGATGAATCGTTTAAAATTTCACAGCTTGAGTAACATTTGCCAAAAAAATGAAAAATTGTTTTTGCATTACATCATGTTGCAAACTGATACACCCTTAATGATCAAGCACAAGTTAAACACGAAATTGATTTAAGCATGAACCGGACTATGAATGACAAATCTATGAATTACCTATCATAAATCAAGACAAGTAAATCAAGCACAAATTAATGATTAATTATGCTCTCTAACACAATCAAAATAGCTAAATTTTATTCACCTAATTCTAGTATTTGTTCAATCACTAGATATAATTATTTAATGTTCACAAACAACTAGACAACAAATTCATGCAAATAGAGTGATCATCTACCCACACAAAACTTGTGTAATAAGTAGTATAAGCTATAACTTCAACATGCAATGATTGTGATTCATCAAATGCTAGTAAAATCAAAACAAAATATCCATAAATTTGAAATTAACACATAGGTTATGGGTTCATCTTCATCAAACAAAAGTATAGGGTGATTAGCCATGATTAAAACAGAAAAAAGCATAGAATCGAAGCTAACTAGACTAGACATAGTGAAAATCTAGCAAACCAAATGATTTAATGATGTTTTTCTTATAATATCTTCAAAGCTTGAACTTCAAATGAATTATGATCTTCCAAGGTTTCTCTAGAGGTTTTTTTGTCGCAATCCTTAGCTTAATCCTCAAGCCAACCCCTGAATTTCGACCTAAAGTTCGACTTATATAGTTACCAAAAATTGGTCACCACATCGTGGGAATTAGACCTCCACGTCGTGGCCCTCACTTAAAACGTGTATGCCCCAAGTCTCGGAAGCTTCTGTGTCAGGAAAGGTGGCCAAGTCGTGGCCTTGAGATTGTTACGTCGTGGCATGCATGTTGCATGACTTCTTCTTTCTTTTCACCTCCAGTCCTCCAAGTATCCAGCACCCCTTTCATTCCTCACCCAATTCTTTCTTTAAATTCGATTTTCTCTAGAGTTTTCGGGGTTTTGAGAAACTTCTTTGTAGAAAGGATCAGAGGCTTCAGCAAACCGGCAAATAGAAGTGTTTGGTATCGAGGTCCTGTCCGCGACTTTTCGACTTTTCACTAGGAATCTCTGTAAGTTAGGCTACACTTACTAGGCTTTTAGGGTAACTTGTAATTATGTTTATAGTTGTTATTAAGAACCTATGAGTACCAGATTAGTCATTAATTCCAGTTAAATATGTTGACTGGTCTACTTACGAGAGAGGGTGTCTAAAATGGACACGTTGGCTTGGTTGTTGGATTTCACAAAAGTTACATATCGAAATGGTCCTACATGCCAACTGTCTTGCCTGTCTGATCCTTATTTGATAGCCATGAAAGTATATTTGGAATTAATGAAGGATCTAACTCCTACTAGATTGCGATAGATATTATTAAAATTATAGTGTTATAGGTTAATACTCGTTAGGCGCTTTGGTCACCAATTGGTGAAACATCCCAAAAATATGGTCCAAAAATTTCATTTTTAAATCATTAATTAAACCAGAATTACTAAAAATCATTTATCAAAACATGAACCATAATATCTCAAATGTCAAAACAGTGTATACATATCAATCTCATGTCAAATAAATCAGAGTATAATATTCCAAGCTAAACATAAACGGTGTGTGTCATGCAGTCATCCCGAGCTCTTCCCCTTGCTACCGGAAGTACCTGAAACCAAAGCTGAAAACTGTAAGCACAAAGCTTAGTGAGTCTCCTCAAACTACCACATACCATACATATATCACATAATCACATAACTTGGGCCTTGCCCGCTACATCGGGCCCCGCTCAGCATCAGACAAGTCCGGCATCGGGCCCCACCCGGCATCGGACCTAAATCCAGAATACATATAAACATATCAACAATGCATATAACATAAACACATAACATAAACATAACTTGGGCCTAGCCCACTACATCGGGCCCCGCCCGACATCAGACTAGTCCAACATCGGGCCCCGCCCGACATCAAGCATAGCTCGGTATACATAAGCATATCAACAAATACATATAAAATAAACACATAACATAAACATATAAACATTCCTCGGGACTCGCCCGGCATCGGACCGAAATCCGGAAGCATATAAACATTCCTCGGGCTTGCCCCGCCATCAGACCGAAGTTCGGAAACATCCAAACAGACACATGCAAGAATCTAGAAGACATCAAGCATACAAACATTCCTCGGGCTTGCCCCGGTATCGGACCGAAGTCCGGAAACATATAAACATCTAAAACTACATCGGGCACTGCCCGGCATCGGACCCTAGTCCGGAATCTACTATTACACATAAACGGGCTGGCATTGGTGCCTTAGACCCGTTCCTACAGGAGAAGACTCACCTCACACTGTTGAAGTCCTGCGGACAAAATTCTAGCTGCTGAATGACAAATTCCCGAACTGTCAACATCAAAATAACACCCAATTAATAATTGGGTTCCAACACATAACCATAAGTCCATGCTTGGGGTAAAAGACTACTTTACCCCCAACTTAGCTTGATTCAAGCCCAAGGGCCAATCCAAAGGCCCAAAAGTCAAACAATGAACCAAAGCCCAACATATGGCCTAATTTTCCAAATTGGGCCCAAACCTCTACATGGTCTTACCCTAAGGCCCAACCATTTATTCCAGTCCAAACATTTGGCATTCCAATGGTCCAACATCTCATAATCATCAAGGCCCAGTTATGGCCCATCTTTGGCCCATCTTTGGCCCAATTTTCCAATGGGCCTTATCCTAAAGCCTATTTCAATATTCTAGTCCATATACTTGTTCTTGGATGGCCCATCAATAGCCCAATCACCAAAGCCCAACAGAAAGGCCCAACTTAAGGTCCAACCAAAATTAGGGTTTCTCACATGAAATGACAATTAGTGTTAAGTGTTCTTACTTAACCCATTAAGGACTTAATCCATTAAGTCCATCACTCCACTAGGCCATTCATACAATGTAGTCGGGCTTAATTCATAATTTCAATCCAATGGTCCAAAATGCGGGTCCCGACAATCCAAAACTAATATTTTCCAAAATTAGGGTTTCCAACCCAATCACAACCCAACTAGTCCAATGGTTATATTTACAGGTTAATTAGGGTTTCACTAGGTCGAGCACCACCCACTGCCACCTCGGGCGGTGGTGGTCGACGGCGGCACACGGCAGCAGCCACCACCTCACGGCAGTGGTGGTTATGATTTTAGGCCAAAACTGTCCAAGCATATCAAGTAGCAATCCATTCACACACTAATGCACACCGCCACCCAACACGGCGGCTGATGGCGGCAGGAGGCGGCAACACGGTGGTAGCCACCACCTCACGGTGGTGGTGGTGGTGAGTTTTTCCGGCCAAAAATCGCACATCCAACATAGCGC